ACTCTCATGAAAAAAATAATCTGGCTCAATAATTGCTCAATACATTTTGTACTATCAACAGAGGGAGGCACTTTATCAAAGTTTCTTGAGTTGAAAATACAATATGAGCCGAGTCATATTATTATCAGACCAAGAATTGCATCATTTTTCCACTTGTTACTACAATATAGATGTTTTTCATCAAAATACAGTTAAAAAATTGTCAATATCTTCAGCTTACTACATACTGATCATTTTTCTATTGTAAATATATATTAAATATTTATTAAGTTTTTCAGTTTTATTAAACTGGTATGTTATTTGCATGTTATGGAAATTAAATATATTTGCTACACCACAGAATGGTTCTGTTAACTTTTCATAGTGCAAGTGAGTGTTTTCTTGCTGGCCCAGAGGTAAAAAAAAAAAAAATTCAGTTTGTTTTTCTGAATTTGTGCGGACACATTTTTTTATTATTTTATTGTGCTTAAATTTAGATTTTTCACAAATGTCAAAAACTGGAGGAAAAAATACTGGGACACGTACATTTACTGATGTACAAGATGACCAGCAAATTGATTATAATGAAAATTGTTCTTTAAACTGTGTCATACAATGGGTAATGTATTAGGTACATGAACAATGGAGAGAGAGAGAGATGTATACTCCTGCATTAGCAAAGGTTAGGCTTTGTACACAGGTATCCAATCCAGTCATGATAACACCAAAAATATTTATTGTCACAAGTACACCCAAAAGTGGGTACAGAGAGAACCAGAATATGGACGTACCATGCACAATTTGTACAGAGTACAAACTCCGCTGAGATAGGCCCATATAACCTCCCCTACATATTATCGTAAATTATGTACATCTAAATCAATATACTGTTTCAATATTTTGAGAAGTCATGTGCTTGTTGAAGTTTGCCCTATCACCAATACAATAGATTTGTGCTGCGTCAGCAGAAATGTAATCGCTAGTTTGCGTTACTAAGACAATATACAATAAAGATGAATTTTGGATTTTATAAATTACCAGACTGATCTTGCATCATAACCAATTTGGCTCACATCAATATAATCGTAGTTTGTGTTACTAAGGCTATATACACACAAAAATAAAGATGAATTTTGGATTTCATAAATTACCAGACTGATCTTACATCATAATTAATTTGGTTTACGTCAACACAATCATAATATTGACAGCCTCAGTCGCAGTGAAGCCAATAACACACATTGTGGTTGCCCCTTTGGCTATCATAATAACATTCATTCAAAATATTGAATGTCAAAATTGTCAACAATAAATCCCATTGTTAATTGTAAAACCATTTTTCACGTGTATATAGTGATAAGCAATGCATAAACAAATTACTACATACTGTGAATATCATAAATCCTCCTGTGCCATATTTAAATGATGCTACTAAACTCATAGCATCGGAGGATGGACTTGCTCCAAATTCATCACCACTGACACTACACAAATTTTTTTGGGCGACGAAAACTCACTTTTAAACTTGCTTATCTTGGTGACAAAGAAGTATATAATATATCAGTGGAGGTATAGAAAACAAAAGTTAACCTTCATTGCTTATAAAAAGACATGTTCAATAATTCCAGGAGAAACAAGCTGAACTCTCACATCAAGAAGTGGGGTAAATCCCTTCACAAAGACCACTTTGATGTCATTTTATTAGTACCATAGTAATTACCATGTACCGGTATCTGTATATGCTACAATGTATGTACACTTTGAAAAATGTGCTCCAATAAAAAAAGTTGCATAAATACAAAAAAAATCCTCACCACTGAATCTATTATGGCAAACCTTTATGGTTGACAATACTTGGCAATACATTTCTCCCAAGACATGCATCCAATTACCTCAGTGCTTGCATATTACGGACAGCACTGAATGCTTTTGACAATGTATGAGGTAAAACTAACTGTCAGTTTGCTGCTAACAAAAAACTTTACAACTACGGTACATGTATAATTGTATGCACTCCAGTTAATTTTTTCTAGACTAATAAAATATGACTAATTTTAACCATGATGCACCTCTGTCACTAACATAACATACACTACTAATAGACCAAATACGGTTTTGTGTACCGGAACATCAAAATACGACTCATTGACTCTCGTGTGCGAAGCACACAATAAGTGTGTCTGTTAGTTATATCAGATGATGCACTAGTAGTAGAGCTAATACGAAAACACAAGATTGTATTTTTGCTAGATTCACGTGGATAAGTTAAATCGTATTTATGAAATGCATTGCACCTAATAGAACTTCCTTTGATGCTAACATGCTATCATTTCATGATTACGATCAATACATTCAGATCTATTTAGCACAGATCACATGGGAAAAACCAGATGTATGTCATGTACTGTGAATGTATTAATTATTCACTTTTAATTATTTAACTTCGCTATTTTTGCTGACAAGTAAAATCTGCTAAATTAAATCTCCGGAGCATGTAAATAAAAATAGAACTCATTTTTTTCCTGCCATGTTTGTGAAATTAAACCCCAGTGAAAATAAATGGTTTCACAGTAGACAAAGTACACTCTGAGCATAATTCAACATTAACTACACTAGATACATTGTAGTTTAGCTTGTTTTCAAAACATTTGTATATATCTAAATTATGCAAAGTAATCTTCCTAAATATGTTTAATTTCAGTAAAATACAACAAAAATAAATTTAAATTATTGATGACAATGATATTCACATTAAAAATTATAATCTTTTATGTATAGCAAAGTTAGATGATACCCAGCTTGGAAGTTTAGTTACACCCAGACTGTACTGTAGTCAAATTTTAAAAATATAGGTACAATGTATAGACCTTTGGAATGTGATGTCATTAGTGCTCCCTCCACCTTGTGACATTCCACAGTAGACATATAGGAAACTATAGGGAAAGAACTGGTATGGTCGTAATTATCTGTAATGAACATGTTCAAAATACTAAACACACAAAGGGTCTATATACAGATGTTTGTTGAGACATGGAAACTGCGAAATTTTGTAACAATGAACATTTCATTTGGATCTGATGACAGCAAGTCAAAATGATTATTGCAGCAATTTCTCTCCACTGATGTTGTCAAATATGTCAAAAACATTAAATCAAGAGCTGTCGAAAGTAGCTAAAAAGTTATATCAATGTCATTCATTTGTATATTGGAGGAATTGTCCTAGCTAAAATCTGCCTGATGAGACAGGTGGACAGGCCTCAGGCAATTTCTACATTTACCTGTCCCAGATAAAATCTGTACAGGTCTTAATTCCAACAAGGATAATTTCTGCCTGTTCCGGACAGTAGGAGGCCCTAATTTCTACAAGGTCAGGCAATTTCTACATTTACCTGTCCCAGCAAAAATTAGTCTGACTGGGACAAGCGGACAGGGCTTAATTCCACAGGGGCAGTTTCTTCATTTATCTGTCTCCAGCTAATCTGCCTGACAGTTGGGCATGCCTTATTTTCTACTTAATGTGCATACTGACTTTTTTAGCAATTGTTGAATTAATGATGGACATGTCTAATGTTTGACATAGATATGTTTCTGAAATTTTGCCAAGTTATCTTCCTCGTGACTCAGTATTTGAAAATACAAGGAAAATACTTGGGATTAAACCAAACTAGTTATGAACCTCAATTGTCTGTATTTAGGCCAATTCAAAATAGCAAGTAGAGTGGAACTTTCATTGTACATTGTGTAACACAAAGTCATTGTTTTCATTGACTTGAAAGAAACTTTTCGCTCATCAATCTTCTGTGTGTGTCACTGATAATGTGGCTGATGCATTTCAAGATACATTTTAAGATTCCAATGAGAAAGATGCACAAATAACCTAAACGAAATAAAAAAAATTATACATACGTGTGGATAACTGGTTACGTATGCAACTTTGTGAATTTTTTCATATTGATAGAATTGTCTATTCTTGGGGGTGGAGCTATGTCACAGAACGTTCTATGCTGCTTGGACGTGCACCAATGTACCATGTATTTCTATGGCTATATGAAACGCTGATCGTGAAGCTGGTGAAAACAGCTTAAGTCGAGTGAACAGCACAAACTCAACTTCCTGAGCAACAAAATTTATATATGTTGAACATGTAGGTGCAATCTTGTTACACTGTTCAAGGGAGTCTCAACAATCATCCCAGAGTACCGTTTTCTGAGAGTTTTAGGCTTTTGTTTTCACCAGTTATGGTGGTGAAAATGACCGCATGTCATGTTTGATAAAAAAAAATATGAAAATTTTTTTTTTTATTTTTAGATTTATTTTTTGACAAATGTTAACTTTGGCATTCTTGTGTTAAAAAAAATTATGTCAATGACTGTTTTAACCATGTCATGAAAAACTTTGAGGAGAATATTTGGTGGTGATGTTAAGATCAGTCTGGTAACAAACCAAATTTCATTCAAAAAGTGCACATGCTCTTCATGGATAAATAATAATTCAAACCTTTCATATATTAGCCATGCATATCATCAACATTGCCCAGAACATGAATCTGCACACAAAAATTGACTTAATGTGGACAACGAAAATAGAAGACATTTTAAAAGCAAAAATTCACTACTTGAACTTACCTACCAAACATATGTTATCGGTAGACATAATTATAGGTACTCGTAATCGATTCATGGATTTTACTTCTAATAATAGTAACAAGAAGTATGGCGACTTTTGTTTACGTGTGTATGGAACAACTTTGTGGTACTCATGTAGATGAGTTTGAAGTAATTCAACTCAAATAGTAACCATTTCTAGAC